ATAACAGGATTGTGAATATTCTATTTCTCAAATGTGGGTACACAACATTTAAAAGAAAATGTATTTATAACATGGATTCTTTAAAATCTTGCTAAAATCAAGACAGTTATCAATCTTGTGAAACTTCAGAGTTTGGAGGATATACTTTACTTTATTTGCTCAAAATTAGGTCAAGAGAGCCATACTTCTGGAAGTGCTTACTTTCTCTCAGAGTCAAGTATAATAGCTTCTTTCTCTAGGGAAGAAATGCCATGTGAAAAAATTTTGTGCGACAGTTTACACATAACCATAACAATAAAAATGAAATCTTTATTTTTTAAAATTAAATTTATTGGGTGGCAATGTTTATTAAGATTATATAGGTTTCAAGTGTACAGTTCTATGATACATCATCTATATATTGCATTGTGTGCCCCCACCCAAAGTCAAATCTTTTTCTGTCAGCATATATTTTATATGTTTATCTCCCTGAAATATGCAGCGTAATTAAATTCTTTTATTATAGATCCCATTTTCCCTTTTCCAAGTAATATTAAAAATGCAATATGTACCCTGTTATCCAGCCTGCAGCAGGGAAAACACCATCATAAATTTAAATTCATTACCAAATTCAAATTTCAGTTATCCCAAGAATAGGCTCCCGAATATGTAATATAAACCCTACATATTCATTAGGTGGTATATGTCTTTCATGACACAGAAACCACTGAGAAGATCAGTGTGGCAGATGCAGTAAATTGTTTCCATAGGACACTGGAAGCTGATGCTGACTGCTCTCGTCTTCCTTGTTCTCATTTTACATGAACACCTCTGCTCATTGTGTGATGTCCTCCCATCTTTCCTCTGTTCACTTACATTGCACTCAGCTGTGGCTCTGAAAGGGGCCTTACTGGTTGTGGACCAGCAGCTTACAGATGTCAGAACTGACCCTGAGAGAGGGCATCCTGACAAAGTCATGCAATCTGTGGCGGTGAGGCGACAGTCTCTGAATTATACCCTGCTGCTGAATATAAAATTTAAAAAAAAATTGTGGGAAATTTCAGCCTTTCCCCGAAGACCCAGTTTCAGTCTCCCTCTGCAATAACGCCATTCCTGACTGTAGCAAGGGCACTGTGGGTTGAATGCAGGCTGCACTGCCTGCGTGCTCGGTCCTATGTGCTAAAATGGAGAAAATAACAGCTCCTATCTGATGGGGTTGTTAAGAGCCTTCAAAAAGTTAGCATTCACGGAGCACTTAGAATAATGCCAGGCTGTTGTAAGTGCTCAATGAGCATTGGTTATTATTACAATCGTTGGTGTTAATCCCTCTTTCTTTCCTATTTTATATTTTCCAGAATACCACCAAGTTAGCTGTTTTATTTAGAATGTCAGATTATTCCAGGTCTCTCTTCCCAGCTCAAGCCATTTCAGGGTAGGGACTATGTCCCAAATTTCTTCTATGTACCTCCATAGGGCCTAACATAATGTTTGATGCAAAATAAGGATTCTGTAAATAGTGTTGTTTTTCCTGCTGGTTGGTAAGGTAAATAGATTTCTAAGAATTGCAACTCTGGCCAACCTTTAGATGTTTAAAAAAAAAGAAAGAAAGAAAAGAAAAGCCAATTAAAATGTGGTAGGAGTATAATGTGTCAGTGCTCTATGGTTTTTTTTTTTTTAAAAAAAGCAAAAGACCACTACGACTCATATTACTTGAAGGTATCTAAAAAATATCCTCAGAATACATATTGGGGGAGGTTAAGGAGTAATGGATGAGAAGATAGGCAATTTTGTATTATTACCAGAGTCATAATTAAGACACTGTGGATAATTTCAAACTGTGTATTGGTGCCGTAGTGGTATTACCCTGAGCCCTGAATTCTGGACAGCCTTTCACTAAGACACGTTTTTAATGCATGTTCTCAGCTACATGTTAGAATTGCTTGGTGAGCTTTCAAAACTCTCATTACCCAGGCTTTACACCAAACCTGTTAAGCCCGATTCTCTGGCACCAGTGTTTACTCAGTCTCTTCAGGTGATGCCCCTTGCAGCCACATTGGGGAACTGACTGGGCCAGCCTGGTAAGCCTGCCAGACTCTGGTTCTGTGGCATGCGTATCTGGATAGGGCATATGGTGATTATGACATATAGCTGCTTTATAATATCTCTGTCAAGTACTATGTAGCCTAGACATCCACTCACTTTCTAAGAGGAGCTTTGAGGGATGAGGAGATATTCGAATGTGAATCCGGTTACCAAGGCTGTGAAACACTGCATCCTTATTTTGTTTGATTCATTTCCCTTCCCACAATGATTGTGGTTGGAACCTGTGTTTTCCTTTTGGCAGCTGACTCCTGCAGATGTGTCATTTTCTACACACTGGCTCCCTGTTTATGCCCGACCAGAGGGGAGCGGCAATGCCTGAGTCACCTTCAGCACTCGGCAATTTCCCGGGAGTCTTATTCTTTCTAACCTTGCGGTTTCTCTGGCTTGAAGAATTTTGTCTCAAGATACAGCTCAAAAAATGAACTCTTAAATGAGAAAAAGAGCATTGTTGGCTGTATAAAAAATATAGATTTATTTTTCTATTTCTTTGCCCAGTATGAACTAGTATTCAGAATAACTTCCTATTCTAGAAGATCCTGTTTCACTAGTTAATGTAACATATGTCACAGATTCTATTGTCTTTTTTTATAGTTACATTATTTTTGTATTTATTCAGAAAACATTTCTTGACGATCTGTGATGTGTCAGGTATTGTGACAGTTGCTTGGAATATAAAGATGAAAGACCTAGTCCATCACAGACACCTTGGAAAGATGGGCAAATGCAGTGATGGAGGAATGCAGGGACTGCTATGATGATAGCCAGGAAGGGCACCTATCCAAACACAGGTGTGCTGTACTAGGAGCTGTTGTATGTGTTTGGGCCTTTTAATTCTCACTATAACTTCAGGATACAGGGGACATGGCAATTCCATTTTATAGATAAGAAAACTGGGTCTCAGAGAGTGTAAGTCATTTGCCCATTTCAAAAAGTCAATAAATGAATGTTTTATTTACCTGCCCACTTCTGGCAATGTTTTTATTAAAAACTTTATTTTTAGAGCAGTTTTAAGTCACAGCAAAATTGAATGGAAAGAACAGATTTCCCATGTACCCTTGTCCCCACCCACCCATGCCACATAGAGCATCCATCCTGTCACTGTCCTGCACCACAGTGATATATTCATGACAACAGATCAACCTACATTAACACATCATTATCACTCAAAGCTCATAGTTCACATTAGGGCTCACTGTGATGTTGTACATTCCATGAGTTCTGACAAATACACAATGACACGTTCCCACCATGGTAGCATCATACACTGCCCTAAAAATCCCCTGTGCTCTGCCCAGTCATCCCTCTCTCCCTCCCAAACCTAGCGAACACTGATCTTTTTACCATCCCCGTACTTTTTATCTTTCCCTGAATAGCATATAGTTGGAATTATACAATATGTAACCATTTCCAATTGGCTTCTTTCATTTAGTAATATGCATTTACTTACCCCTGCCTTCTCATGTCATGGTAATTCATTTCCTTTTAGCTCTGAATAATATTCCATTGTTTGGATCTACCACAGTTTATCCATTTGCTCACTGAAGGACATTTTGGGGACTTCCAAGTTTTGACAGTTATTAATAAAACTGCTATAGATCTCCATGTGCAGGATTTTGTGTGGACATAAAATGTCAGTTTATTTGGGTAACTGGTAAGGAGTGGGATTGCGGATTATATGGTAAGAGTACATTTACTTTTGTAACAAAACATTAAACTGTCTTCTAAAAGGGTTAGACCATTTTGCATTCTCACTTGCAATGTATGTTTTCCTGTTGCTTCACATCCTCGCCAGCATTTGACGTTGTCAGTGGTTTTGGATTTTGGCCATAGTAAGTGTGTAGTGGCATTTCATTGTTGTTTTAATATGTAATTCTCTAATGACTTAAGATGTTGAACATCTTTTCATAGGCTTATTTGCCATCTGCATGTCTTTGTTGATGAGGTGTCTATTTAGGTCTTCTGCCCATTTTTTAAAAATTGAGTTGTTTATTTTCTTATTATCCAGTCATGTGTTAATATTTTGTACTTGAGGTAAACCTGAGAGAATAGCCTTATGGAAAAGGGAAAGAAGGCACCCCAATAACTCAACTGGGAGCTGACCCGGCACTCACAGCGGGGCCGTGGTGCTCTCATGTTGAACATAAGCAGTTTCACAGACCATCAGCACCAAACGAGACCACTCTGAAATTGGGAGGACCACATTTACTCATGCCTGGATATAGAACACGGTGCAAACCACCAACATGACCAACATCCCCTCTTCTTGTTAACATGAACTTTTTTTCAATCAAAGCTTGAGCCCTACTCAATTCCTCATGTCTCCTAGACAAAAATTCAGATACTCAGTGATAAAATTGCGCTTACTTTCTGATAGCGCCCAATCCAGAAGTAAAGCCACCTTTCTCTGTAACATCCCCTACAGGACTGGGCAGGGGCCGAGGGGAGCAGGTGTCCCCAGGATGCAGGACTTTCAGTACTAAAATTTGGAAATTCTGGAGCTAGCTTGATCATCCTATTCTCTAGAATAACAACACAAGCCCAGATATTTTAGCAAGCCCCTTCTAACACCCTCTCTGAAATACCTTCCACTTATCAATAGAATTTTTTGTTTCCTTTGCTGTAAACACTTCCAGTGTGGTCCTAGTGGTCTTTGGTGATGGGCAACAACCAATCAACAAAATCAAAGCAAAGCCAATACTATGGCAATAAATTTATGAGGTTATTCCTTAACAATAATGTTTTAAATGATTAATTTCCTTCTAACAATAGGAAATGGAAAGTTGCCTAATTTATGGGGAAGCCCGAACAGCATGATGAATCTTAACGTAAAATAAAAATGTCCAGAAAATATTGTTAGGCTATGATAAGAAAGACTTTGTTTTGTTGTTTTTATAACAAACTTCCTTTCTGTCTCTCAGGGATCATGTCTGACCACCAGTTTGGTAACCAGTTTATGTGCAGCGTGGTGGCCTCTCATGTGAGTCATCTGCCCACAACCAACCTCAGCTTCGTCTGGATCGCTCCACCTGCTGGCACAGGCTGCGTGAATTTCATGTAAGTACCCACAGTGTCTGTGACCACTAAGGAAGGCAAATATACCCCTCATTGGGTTACATATGGGGTAACTATTAAAGTGTATTATTTTAACAAGTTTGACTCTAATGGAATTCACTGACTTGGGTATCAAAAAAGAGATGAAAACTTTTAAAAAGTAACTTTATTTTTGCCTATTTATTAATTCCTCAAGAGTTATAAATTAGATTTTAGCTGACCAAAATACACAATAAGATAAAAATAAAGCCGTTATCAAAATTTTCGTTTAGAAAATAAGATGAAAACAGGTACTAAAAATGCCATGAGACTCATATACACGTTGGAAGAAGACCACAAATTCAGCTTTCTGATTTCTGACCATTAGAGACAAGAAGGAAATGTGATCAGATAAGAGATTCGTGATGGTGAGAAATCAGGGACTCTATAGAAATTTAATAACTTTTTCATGTGCTTTCATTCAGAGGAAACTGGGAAATGTAGTAAGTAATGCCCCCACGGCCTTGGACAAACACTGCACTGTGGCTCAAAGGCTGTGACTTGTGCCATCTCTCAGTATAGACTATTCCACTACCACTGCCCCAGAATCACCACTCCTCATCCTCTTTAGTTATCTTTTCTTTCCATATTTTTTTTTACTTCTAGCACATGATATACTTCATATTTAATTATGTATATTCATTGTCTGTCTCTTTCTGCTGAAATGCAGGTTCCTTGAAAGCAAGAATTTTTTTGTTTGTTTACTCATTTGCCCCAACTGTCTAAACAGTCCCTAGCACACAGTAAGCATTCACCGAATATTTGTTGAATGGATAAATAGGCCAATGGAATAAGGTCAGAGGCCATTCAGAAACAGCATTCTATGGGCAGCCAAGCAAAATAGAGCTGGACGGCATATTGAATGATTCTCTATTCCAACCTTCTGCTCAGACAACAAAGTCTCATAAAATATGCACACTCCAAATTCACTATTATCTTTACTTCCCTTTAATAGCATACAGTTGAGTGTCAAGGGATCTATTTTTTGCCTATCTTCTGGGTTATCAAGATGCAAACATCAGATTCATCCTTCTAGTTAATTGACATTTAATCTCATCATTTTCTCCCTCAGGAAGTTTTTCATACTTGAACTCATTCTTTCCAGTGCCTCTTCCTAAGGTTATTGATTGCAATAGCATCCCAACTGGTCTGTTCACTTCCGGCCTATTTCTCCTCCATCCATCCTGCACATTGTTAGCCAGTTTATCTTCCTAAGGTCCAATCTTGATCACTCAAAGCTTGTATCCCCCCAAATTTCCATCTGAAAGCCAGCCCTTTGGCGTGGATTTGATATGCTTTTCCCAATAATTGATGTTTACCATCTTCTCTTATTTCCTATAGCATGCATCTCCTGAATAGGGACTTCCTACAATTCCCTGAACATTTTGTGATTTTCTTTCTTCATGCTTTTCTCATAGCCCAGAATACTTTTTTTTTTCTATAAATTTCAATTGCTAAAGTCCTACCCTTTTTTCAAGAACTGTTGAAAATGCCCACTCTTCTAGACTATAACGGTTTCCAAGACATCAATAACAGAAGTGACATGTTGATTGGTTTACTGTATACTTATTTGAATTAATTTCTTGCCTGGATAGGGACAACTTCTTATTTCTTTGTGATCCCTCCACAGTTGATACAATGTCTCAAACAGAGAAAACATGGGAAATGCCCTTGGATTATATGAGGTTCAATGTTGTTTTTTCCTTTTGTTTAATAGTAATCTCTGACTCTTTTGGCATACTTTATCTTCCTCATATTTGCACTTGGAAGGACAACAAATTTTCCCCGTGCATCACTTTGTAATTTAAAACAAACATTATTTTTGTCAACAGTAGAACACAAAATAAATTATGTCAACAATATAGAATTGCTTATTTCAAAAAAATATAGAGGTTTAAATTTAATCTGTTTAAATATCATGTTTGATGGCATATGATCTCACTGTTCCTGGGATATCAAACTCTACTTTCTTCTGAGAAATAACAGGTATTCTAAGTCCTAACTTCAAGGAATATTTTCTTAGCAGTTGGTCAGAAAAATACAGTTTGCTCAGAAGTGACTTTTACTCTCTGCAAAGAATACACACTCTCGTATTTCCCAACAAAATTTTTATGATGCAATTTGCACTTTTTGCTATTTTAATAGCATTAAGTCTCTGCTTCACATGAGCCATGATTACGTTGAGCTTTGCATGGAGTAGCTGCTTCTTATGTGGTCAAGATGCTTTTGTTAATCTCCTTTCCTAACTAGCTTGTGAGAGACTACAGGAAAACTGAAGATTGAACATGGACCGCGGAAACAGTTTATCTGAAAATTTCCAAAATAAAGTCTTGCAATGTTTTACCTTTGTTCCTTACTACACTATTTATTATGTGTTGAGTAGAGCCATATAAGAGTTAAAACCTGTATTTAGTATGTGCCCAGCAATACTTGAAGGGGATTGCTAATGTTCACCATAAATTTTAAACATTCAGCAAAAATAAAATAACACGTAAACTTATGGCATTTGAATGTAAATCTATCATGATTCTCTTTTTTCTAATTAACCTCAAAAATTAAAAGTTTCATGTTTTAAAGTAGGAAGAATAGCTTTTTAAAAATTAAACTTCAGCCATGCTTATATGCTTTAGTCATATATTTTGTATAACTTCTTATTGTTAGTTACTTCATACATTATTTAATTTCTTTACAAGTGTATTTTCCTTTTTAACTGGATTTTAAATCCCCCAAGGTCAGGGACTGTGTTAGCTATTTTTATGTACCTAACAGGTCCTAATACTGAAATACAGACGATAGAAGGCCCTCAATAAAATGTCCTTAATAGCTCATAATGATATCAGATTTCATTGATTCTGAAGTACTGATTTTTAAAAAATGTTTTGGAATCTCAAAAGAAGAGATTGGCAGCATTTACTTTATATCTTAATGTCTTACAATTGATTGTGTCTTGGATTTGAAGAACCCAGCTACTAATATCTATCATTTACCATGTGTACGGTCTCTCTAAAGTGGCAGTTGAATTGACACTGCACCCAATTCTGTAATTTCATATTAGAACAGCCGTGTATGATTAAAAAACCCACTTATCTATTTAAGTCCTTTTTTAAAATCTTGTAGTAAAAATTATGGAACATTTGAACTGAAATCCCAAACAATTACATCATGTGCTGTGTGTGCCTTTCTCAGAGAAGAGCATGCTATATAAATAAAACAGGTTTTATAGCTAAACCACCTAGCCACACAGTAATGAGGGCTGTCTTTTTTTTTTTACTGCCTTTCTCGTTAAAAAATAATCAAGTGAGAGACATAGAGGAGAGGATGGCCTGAGAATAAAGTTGCTGGCTGTCCTGGTACAGATGTATAAAATGGACAACTAGCCCAGCCGGCGTACTCAATGATTGAGCGTTGACCTATGAACCAGGAGGTCACAGTTCAATTCCCAATCAGGGCATATGCCCAGGTTGCTGGCTGAATCCCCAGTGTGGGACATGCAGGAGGCAGCCAATCTTATGATTCTCTCCCTCTCTAAAATCAATAAAAAAAAATTTAAAAAAATGGATAAGTAACTAAATTTATTTTGTCATTAGTTTTTGACACCTGTTGATAGTTTTCAAGTGATAATTTTACTCAGAGATCTGCTTAATATCCAGATCTTATGACAGTATAATTTGTTCTTACCTTTATATTTGATTAGTGCTTAGTGACAAGTAAGCCTCAAGTTAAAAGAGGCCCTTAATTATTCAAACTTCTTGCATGTAAATTGTCCCCCCAAAATCCTAAGAGGGAGGAGGGTATATGGAGAGAAGAGATGGAGAAACAAGAAGGAGGAGAATGAGAAGGAGGAGAGAAAGAGGAGGAGGAGGCAGAGAAAGAGGAGGGAGAGGAAAAAGATAGGGACAGGCAAGGGAGTAAGGGAAAAAAGGAGGGAATGAAGGAAATCTCCAGCCATCTAACCCTAAATATTAGTGAGAAGCTGCCAGGGAATAGGGATTGTAAAATAACAATTACAACATTAATTAATAATATTTTTGAAAATTTAGAATGTGCTAGTCACTGTTCTAAATAGTTTACATCTTTTAACTCATTTTATTCTCAAAGTAATTCTATGAAGTAGGTGCTGTTATTATCTCAGCTTACAGTGACATTAAATAACTTGCCCGTGAGTGACAGCTTGGATTCAGAAGGTAGTCTAGTTCCAAGCAGGCAATTTTTGTCACTTTACTACAGTTGCCTCTAAAATGATCACTTACCTATTTTTTATAATGGTACTAATACATATTATGGTGTTTACTATTGTAATTTTGAAATCTACCTCTGTGTGAGAGAATTAATCTAATTCCTTTGAATATTGAGAGGCACTGATTTAAACTTCTGAAATACGAAGAACACATTAGATTACATCTTGATACCTATGATGTAGATCCATTCCTTGAAAGCTTATTACATATCACTAGAGGCCCAGTGCACAGATTCGGTGGGGTCCCTCGGCCTGGCCTGCGGGGATGAGGCCAAAACTGGCTCTCCGGACATCCCCTGAGGGGTCCCATATTGTGAGAGGGCGATTCTTGGGTGACGCACCCCGGAATCTGTCTCCCTCCTCTTTGGTTCCGGGTGCATCACACGAGAACCACAGCTGCCAAGTCACCACAACTTGGCAGCTCCTGCATTGAGCGTCTGCCCCCTGGTGGTCAGTGCACATCATAGGTACTGGTCGGACGGTCAAACAGTCACTTAAGCTTTTATATATATAGATTACTTGTCAAAAGTGAATTCTACATAGGGAAAGGATGTGTCAATTAAAGGCAAAATTTATCACCAGTAGATTTAGGTTTAACTGCTTGGACAGAGATGCTAGAATAATATTAGAATACAAATGGAACATGGAAGATCAGATTTGTGCCCAAATTACTGACAATTTAATGTTAAGTAAACTCCCCCAAAACTGAGAAAAGAATCTACCAGTC